ATACCTCCTGACGTCCCCCATCTTAATCTAGACCGACTGTGTACCCTATCTGTGCCATACAGCAACACTCCTTAACATAGGCGAGCTACACTCAACCTCGTAGTGTGCACTCGGTCAATCGGCTTCGGCTCGCGTTTCGGGGTAGGTTCGGGTTTCGGAACTACGCTGCTGGTAGTTTTTCGGGAGTCGTTGTTTTACTACTTCCCGACAAGTAGGTCGGCGTTTTACCACTATCCGACAAAGTGGATATTGTTTTTTGATGTACTACTAGCCAACAAGTAGGTGGGGAACTACTGTGGGCGGCTCCCCTCCCCTCTCAACACTAAAGAGGTCGGAAATCATGACACGTTTCGGGCGGCAGCGGCGGTTTCCGCCCGTCACCACCACCACCGTGAGGTGACGTCGATTCCGTCACCGAGAGGCGGAAACTCTCGGTGTCGACTTCCTATTTTTCCAGAGTGAGACGGGCCTCTCAGCTACCATTTCGGTATCGGATCATGGAACGTCCCGAACGCCGGCGGACACACGTACGTCCTCGTATGGACGAGGGCGGATTCAATCCCCTCGCGGGCACGGCACATGGCAGCAGGACGGGCTGCTGCAACAGCACCGAGCTGTGCGAGCGGGGTGACTACGCGGAGACGACGCGCATGGAGAAAAATCGTACTGTGAACCGCACGATGGTTGAACCTCCCGCTACTTCCAGGAGGTTCGGTAGGCGAGGGAGAAGGAAGAAGAGCAAGGGGCGCGCCCAAGGGAGAAGGGCCTACCAGAACGAGACTGGCATGCGACAAGTCGCGCAGCCGGAAACAACCACATTGCGAGTACTACAGCAGGTACTCAAAACCAAAAACCGTAAACAACCTACAACTCAACGGGTCTCGCTCCCAGGGAAGAATCAAGCGCCGAGGATACCAGTGTTATACGAAGCACTTGGATATCGGGTTCTGCTGATGACCCAATTCACCAATCAAGTGCAGAGTAGTGCGACTCTGCACTACCAGGGTTCTGCGATAGGTTTGTCTGTTAGACTGTCTCTGCGGATGTCGTCGAGGAAGGGAATTATCAGATACCTGCTGTGGAAAATTCGTTGATTCATCTCCCAACGGCTGTTGCACTCAACACACCTGCATACCGACGCTGCTGTTGCTGTTCAAACTATTTACGCGCATACATGCTGAACTTAACCTATGCCTAGGTCTCTGCAACCGAGTTGGTGCTCGACACAGGCACACTTGACCTTTGCCCTTGCTCGGTTAGCTCTCTCTTCTCTGAACTCGTGGGGCTAGCCAAGGGTCAACGTGAAAACAAAATCAAGATATAGACTGTTAGCTTACAAATCTAAAAAAGGGGTGTGTGTGTGTACTCATGGTCGTGCATGCCGTAGTCGTTAGACCATTGACCGCGCATTCCTACAAGGCCGGAACACGCCGGGTTTTCACCGGACCAGGCTCTCGCATCACCAAGCGCGAAGCGCCGTGAGGTATTCGNGCACTGTGTAACTGCCTCGAGGGTGCTTGACCATTTTAACACAACGTGGTGCGATCATCCCCCTTGCGCGGAGTGAGGGTTCTCCACCCCGCACAACATGATTACTCGACCACCGATATGGTTACCGTCAAAAACAAAAACAGAGGTAAAAAAGCGGTAACCTGANCTTGTGCTTACTTCCTTGCGTACGGATGACAGCTGCGTATGACTGAATTTGTTTTCTGGTGCTTTCACTTCCAGACAGTTATAAGCACTGCGTAACTGCCTCGAGGGTGCTTGACCATTTTAACACAACGTGGTGCGATCATCCCCCTTGCGCGGAGTGAGGGTTCTCCACCCCGCACAACATGATTACTCGACCACCGATATGGTTACCGTCAAAAACAAAAACAGAGGTAAAAAAGCGGTAACCTGATTGCCGAGTTCACGAAGTGAATTGGCTTGTTTTTCAACGTCCTTGCCAAGCGAAAGCGACGAAAACCGAATCCCGATGGCAAATAGCGAGGAGGCGGCTTGTTTTACATCGTCGTTGTCAAGCGACGAAAACCCAACCCCGACGGCAAGAATGCCGGTTGGGGAGGCGGGGAGGAGATTTTGGGGGGGGACTCTAATTTTCTATATATTTGAGTAAGGGGCACCACGGATAGAAGTAGTGGGGTCAAGTACAAATTTTCTTGAACGAAGCCCTCCCGCGGGAATTTGTTTTTCACGTAGACCCTTGGGTTAACACACAGCCAACTTCATGCAAACACACACGTCATCGGAAAATAGCTAATTGTGCCGCAGCTCAACCCCAACACACAAGAAAGCGGAGACAAGGTCCGAACAGCCCCTGAAACGAGCCTACTTCTACCACACTGCGTGGTAGCAGCAACAGTAGAGTGGACATATGCTGTTCATACTAGTCACGATCTTGACAGCAGGCAAAAGGCGGTAAACATGCGAGTGGTGGTGCTCATGTTCGTTCTTTCTTGTCTGCTATAAACAGAACGCATCAACACTAAGACACATTTTTTTATGGGGCCAAGATTGGCGTTTGTGGACGTCCCGTGGGACATCCATTCGCTTTGTGGGATACCGTAATTGTGCGTGTTATGGCACCCATCGTTGATATCGCACCCTTCGGTGTTATGGTACCGGGGTGCACAAAAAGATCGAGAACGGGATGATGATTATATTGCATTTCCGCACCATTATTAAACACCACCCGGGGCGATATCAACGGTATAGAACCTGCTTTGGACAAAAGTGTGCGTGCTTCCGATTGGTGCCGGTACCTTCTGGGCCGCGGGTCGAGTTGTTTGTATCGATAGGCTGAAAAGGTCCGGTAGGTACCAATTGGGGCGCCATTCCTATCATGTATGTACGTCATACCGTCGAGGTTTGCGAGTAGAAATGATAAATGTTCTACCGTAATCTGTACATTGAATGCACTCTCTCATTGAACTATGTACACAGCACAAATCACACACCTCCAGCCAATCGAACAAGAGGGAGTTCATAAACGGTACTACCATTGTACCGGTACCATGCCCCGTGAGGCAGCCAACGACAAAGGGAAGCTCCAGTCAACAAAATGAGGGGCTTGCGACCAACATAGAGGTTGGAAGACATCGTACCGTTAACCTTTCCCAGCAGGGAACCACAGCGTCTGTTGTCTTTGGCACACGCTACCCCAAACTCGCATTCAGCCGCTTCAATCCAAGTACCGTATCATGCACAATTGCAGTACTTGTACCAGGAAACGCCTGTGTTCGTTTCTTAGTATTGCACATATCGGTGCCATCGCACCGGGGTGCGTTCACTCAGCACCGTAAAATGGCCAGTACAATTTCTTCGTATCGCCCCCAGCGGTATCATCGCACCGGGGGTGCGCTGGAAATCTAGAACGCATACGGACGTCCCATGGGCCAGCCAGTGGACGTCCGTATGAACTTCCAATAATGTAACTACCCGGGGTTTCGGGCGAAAAAGTATCATCAGATCTCGCCAACATTTTTCGGGGGGCCACAAAGATGCTCTTCCGAACAAACCGTTATCTTGACCCAAGATTTGCCACTTCGAGCTTTGTTCACAAATCTTGGAGCGGGCTGACAAATGTTGGTGGGTCCGGCGACGTTTCTAGAGGTCAGTCTACCTCATCGTTCACACCGCAAAGAAACTTGCACCGTGGCACATGTGTAGGGGACTCTACCGCACCCTGGCTTCACTACTGTGTCGACGTCACGGGCGCCGACAACGGAGAGTACGATCTACATTCAAGTACGCTACACCAACCACTTTTTTTCGGTGTGCCGGCAACCCCTTTGCACAATCAGGTCCCCGATTTTGGCATGCACCAGCGGGCTCGGCATCACCGTGCGCTACGTAGTCACGACGTACGGTTTGGTGCTGGGGCGAAATTTATTGGAAATATTGAACCTCGTCGGCTTCCCAGCACTCACTGTGGATTGCCGAAATAGCGGTGATTTTGACGGCATTGCGGCTGTTTGTCATGTACTACCCCAACACGAGAGCCAAGTACGGAAGAGTGACCAGAGAGAAGCCGTGGGCTTGCGGTCTAGCAGCCACATACCTTTTGGGGGAAACGGTGGTGAGGTTGGCAGCTGCAGTGCAGGGCACAAAGAGGTGAGGGAATGAAAATGAAGCGGGATAGGCTGCAGGATTCGAGTTTCCGCGTCGGCCGAGCCCCCTCAGTTGCTGTCACGGACACATACGTGTAACCACTGCTGCGTGTGCGTGTGTGTGTGTGTGTGAGAGAGAGAGAGAGAGAGAGAGAGAGAGAGAGAGAGAGAGAGAGAGAGAGAGAGAGAGAGACAGAGACAGAGAGAGATGGAGACACACAGGCAGACAGACTTAGGCAGATATGACTATGGAGAAACTATTCATCCTTGCAAGTTTCGTGAAGTGTGTCTATATTGTGTCTAACGTCGAGAACCAATTCAGCCGCTTTCATACCTCGCAGGGTTGCAACCGTCATGACCAACCTGGACCCTGTCTCGGTGTTCATCACTATCACGGCGGTGGTGTGCCTCGGCCGCCAGTTGAAGCGGATACACGACCTCAGAAACATGGGCCGGATGTTCGCCTGGTTGGAATAATTCTACTGATAAGTGTACGTGAGTGATGACATGGACGTCATGTGAACGTCAAAAAATCTGTTGGTTCTTGTGTCGGGAGCGTTGTCCGAAGCACCGGAATGTGGTCTTGGTTGTCCGGCACACCGACTTGTTGGCCACCGCCGCAATACCCTGCCCTGCGTCAGGATTGCTCGGTGCGATCACTGCTACGTGCGATCGTTCGGCGGGTCACGCCCGCTTTTTCCAGATTTACTGCACGTACCGCCTCCTTGTTGTTGCCTCATGAAGTACGTGAATCGATTGTTCGACTTCGAGTCCTTGCTTGGTAAAAATTGTCTGTGACACCACGAATAGGGTCGGATCGTTGGCTCACGTACGGATGCTAGGGGGTACCTGGACAGAAAAATTGAAAGATTTTCAACGTATGAATTCACAACAATATCGCCATTCACACCACCAACAACTTGTCGATGAGGCTCCCCCGATGGACGGCGCAATTGCACACGATATCAGAATCCCAACCCTCAAAATGCCTGACAGAGTTAGCTGCAGCTGCCACGCCACGCGATCGATATCGATACGCCCCATGACCGTTGCTTGCGTGGCCTGTTATTCACTCGCCGCTTCCCAGCGGTGTTCACGGCGATCCAGGTGCTACCACTCTCTGCCCTGGCGTTCAAGTACTTCAGCATCGTTTTCATGACCTTATCGCACCCGGCCATCGTCTGGATTTTGTGAGTCCTACGCTCCCCCCCATGTTTCGTGGTCCTTGTGAACCTTCCCGTACTCTGGGAAATGTGCCCGCCCTCCGCCCTCCCTGTGGTCAATGGTCTAACCGCCAAGGCATGCAGAACATAAGATTACGCCCCCCCTCCGCCCCCCCTACTCCTGGTGTTTGCCATCGGGGTTGGGTTTTCGTCGCTTGACAACGTTGTAAACAAGCCAATTCACTTCGTGAAGTCGGCAACCAGGTTACCGGTTTTTTTTTTTACCTGCGTTTTTTTTTTGGCGGTAACCATAGTGGTGGTCGAGTAGATTATTATTGTGCGAGGTGGAAAACCCTCACTCCGCGCAAGGGGGATGATCGTACCACGTTGTGTAAACATGGTCAAGCACCCTCGAGGCAGTTACACAGTGCTTTCAGCTGTCTATGGAAGTGAAAGCACCGGAAAATAAATTCAGTCATACGCAGCTGTCATCC